GGGGCCCGAGCCAGCGCTGCTCGGGGCCCCTGGGTGTCGCTTGCCGGGACGCGGCGGCCACGTCTTTCTTCAGCGTTTCCTTTCCCGAAGTGGGGTCTCGGTTTTCGGCCTCCGCGTGTGCTGGGGGCTGCGCCCGTCGCGCGTGGGTGGAGGCTCGTGTCGCGGGAGCGGGAGCGGGGCTGGGAAGGGCGAGCAGCTGGGATGGATGGACTGTGGGTTGCGGCCTCGGAGGTGACCTCAGAAAGGTTGGTTCAGGTTAGGTGCGTTTCCTCTTCATTGTTTTTGCTCCCCTTTTTTTTTTTGGTAGCACTGGTATTTGTATAGCTTTCAAGGTGTGTTTATAGATTATAAGGCTGGAAGGGGCCGGTATCTGTGGTGACTTTGAGCATCAAACAGACTGCTGTTTTCACTTGTTGGTTTTCGCCTGTGTTTTAGAGCCTAATAACTTACTGAGCAGGAGCGCATCTTTTAAAGAGAGAGAGACTCCATGTTGATGTAAAATGTGGGAATTTACTACCTGCCTCCACAATCTGTCCCAACAGTCAGCTCCCAGTTTAAATGCATCTAATTTCCACTTCCACACAGTAGGTTTCCTTATGTCCTCGTGTGCTGATTGAAGGAGCCTTCTAGAGTCGGGTGTCATTTCCTACATATGCATTTCTAGCCATGGATCGAGGTACCCTCTTTGCTACTAGATATACTGGCAAAATGCTTCTGCTGGTATGGCATATACCTGCTTTCTAAATCTTTATTAGCAAAAACATGTTCTGCTGACCTTTTTTGTTTTTTAATTTTATTAATGAACCTAATTTATCAAATAAATTTAACCTTTAAAGATTCATCCAATCCCCTAAAACAGCAGTTCCCAAACTCTGACAGATTGCGCACCACCAATGTAAAACAATACAACCTTAAGTACCACCAGCAAGTTTTTGTCATATAAAGTAATTATAGTAAATCTGTTAACGCGTATCACTGACAGGTTGTCTGTGTACCACTGGTGATACGCGTACCACAGATTGGGAACTGCTGCCCTAAAATATGCATAAAGACAGATGTTTGTCTTCCATCGTTAGTGCTCCCTTAGCCAAAGTCAGTGTCCACAGGAGTCCTTTTGTACTTTTCATCTTCTTTCAATCCCTGACTCTTCAGTCACTGTTCATTTTTTGCGTTTCTTCATTGCTGTATGATAATTCATCCCCTCTTTTTCCTCGGAGTGCTGCATGATCTGAATCTCACTAGCTTCTAGTCATCTCTGTTTTTAAATTTTAAATTTATTCCAAGTTAGTTCTTAAGCGTTAGCACAGTAAGAACTTGCACTTTACTTAAGCATTCAAAAGAGTTTCTCAAACTTTCTGGTTTCGAAGTAGGAAAAGATTATTTTTAGCACATTCCAAGAGTTTCCACCACATTTCTCAGTAATCACCTTTTTTCCTTGTTCCTTGTGTAACTGAAATGATAGGATACCTTTTCTATTCCTGACATTTCACAAACTTTTTTTAAAGCCAGTCAGTGATTTTAGGGGCTTTTCTTTCAGGCTTTTGCAGTTGTGATTCTTGCAGTCTTGCTGATCTTGATTTTTATAATAGGCTTTTGTTAGTATAGAAAAGCTATAAATACTGTAACTTAATCAACTTACCAGCAGTATTTTAAATGAAAGCCACGTCTAACCCTATCCTTAATACACTAACTAGGCTAAAATCCCACTGTAAGGCATATTCTTCAGGTCACTTATCATTCTTGAAGGTCTTCACTGAACCTTCTCCACTTTTTTATGTGCACATAACTTGAGGTGATGTTTCTAGTAGTCTCAGCAATAATTTGCAGAGATAGTATCACCTCCTTACTTCTGTTTGATGTTCCCATAACATGAAGTAGGATTTTCTAACACTTCGGTAGAGAGAATGCACAATGAGGTTGATATGAAACCAGAAGAGTATTTTCTTTTGCATATCAGTTGGACAGATCTTAGTTCTGAAATGTTTTTGGGGAGTTTATTTCTGTATATTCTGCAGCTATTTTTTAGGAATATCTTTGTTTATATAATACAGCTACTTTTGCTTAACGCCATAGCTACGTTCTTGAAAAATGTAATTTTAAGCAAAATGATGTTAAGTGAATGTTACATCACAGTAGTTACCTACTAGCAGGTGGCAGCCAAACAATATTATAATCGAATGTTGCGTGACTTTAAACGAGTATGTTCTCTAATAGATCAGCAACATAATAACGAAACAACGTTAACCGGGACAACATTAAGTGAAGAGTACCTGTACTTATTTAAGGATCTTCAATTGTAGAATTTCTGATGGGTTTTGTTCTTTTGTTGCATCTGTCGTTGTAATTTGTAAATGTGGGTCAGATTTCTCTTCTGTCGAGTGGAATTAATTAATACTTAAAGCAGTAGTCTATTTGGGGGGGGTTCTCTGTGGCAAAGAAAAAACGAAAACGCTTTCAAAATATTTTATATTCAGTCTGGAACTCGCTTATTGTGAGGCTAAAATATGGTTCCTGGTTGTTCTGTCGAAAATGAAAGTGTATTTGGATCTTTTTTAAAGGATCATAGTATTTTTGCCTTCTTTATGTTGATGTGTAAAAAGCACAAGTTTCAGTGTATTTCTTGCAACTCTGCTTGCCTGGAGATGGTGAGTGGAATGTGACCTGCTTCTGCAGGTATAGCAGTTATTTTTATCTTAGTTGGTGATAACCTTGCAAGGGTGGCCTGGTCTAATAGAGTGGCTGTAAATTGATTAGAGTAGGTCTGAGGCTACATTCATCCTTGCTTAAAGCCATTTTTTCATGTTTTGCAGTTGGATTGTTACACTTACTTTAATCGTGTCAGATCCCTGTATACTACTGTATTTACTTGATTAGAAGAGGAGGTTTCCCCTCCACATTTAACACCGGGGGAGAAGCCCCTCATCTTACAGTTGGGCAGGTAGATGTAGTGGCTGCAACCCCACACCAGGGTTGGGGCCAGATCCACCAACAGCCCCCTGTGCCTCTTTTCCCCCTTTGCTGCACTTCTTACCTTTGCTGTATACCAGCAGTCTCTGTCCTCACTGCAGGCTGGAGCACGGAGCATATGCTCCAGCCTCAGCCCTGTAGCAGCAGTGCTGGCTGCGGGCCACTGTTGTGAGGCCAGGCTGGAGGAATGCTCAGTGCCCCAGGCTGCAGCAGGGACAGAACCTACCAACAAGGAACAAAGGTAAGATGGGGTGGGGGGGGAAGAAGGCATGGAGGGCAGGGCCCTTAGGCTGTGCGGAAAGAAGTGGTATGGAGGAGAAAGGGGACTGGGGCAGCCTGAGGCTGTAGGAGAGGCAGGCGCAATGGGGTGGGGGGTGGTAAGTGGGGGCAGGAGACAAGCTGCCTACACTTCTTACTACCCATCCCAACACCTCCACGCTGCGTCTCCCCACCGCCTGTGCCCCACTGTTCCCTCCACTGCCTGCCCCCTTACTGCCCTATACTACCTGCCCTACCACCTGCCTTCTACTGCCTCTTCTCCACCACTCACCACTGCCATCCCCATTACTGCAGCCCATTGTCTGCACCCTCACATACCCTCCGCTACCTGCCCCATTACTATCCCCCCGTCATCATGTCTTCCCCCACCTCCTGCAGTATAATACATTTATAACATTTCCATGTATAGAATCTAATTACTGGGGAGTCATCTTAAATTCAGGGTCAGCTTGTATTCTGGTAAATATGGTAATTCTGTTTGATATTTGATTAAATTCAGGGTTCCATATCAACTCTCACCCTAAAATAAAAAAGTGTTATTATAAAAGCAGCATATGTTCTTTTCCCCCTCATTTTGTGTTTTAATATGGTAATAAGCTTCCAGACGATAAAGGTGAAAGTTTCCTATGGCATTATTCACTGATTCTGGAACTTCAAATATCTTTGTAGCTGCTTGAATTATGAATATTTTTGTTTCTTCATATTGGGGAAATTAGTGGATTGTCAGTACCGTACAAGAATTCCAGAATGTGCCAAAGTATTGTGGTTATTGTGTTAAATTGAATATTGTGTTGAATATGCTATGGACAAGGAGGCTCTGAGAGTCCAGAGGTCACTTTGCTTGTTGGTTTTGGGCTGGAGTGGGGGGAGAAGAGGGCTGTGTTTGGATGTTTGTTTTTCCTGTGTTGTTTTGAGGCTGGAAAGGATAGTGTTTAGTGGATATTTATAGTAGATTTGAGGCTTAAGTTGACTGCCTGCCTTCGTGTACAGTTTTGGGATTTGGTTCCCTAAAGAGAGGGCTTAGTGTATTTTTTGAAGATTTAGCCTTCTTGATCAGTAGGTGTTCTTGTGTTGTGCTTTTTAAAATGTATCAAAACCAGTTTATCTTTAAATGATCTTTTTCTCTTTAATTTTTTCATTTGTCTTATATGTAGTCTGACTTCCTGTTGGAGCAGTAATTTGTGATCACACTGTGTGATATAAGATGTCTTGCTAATTATAAATGGGTTCCCATGTTTTTTGTTGGATGGATTCCCCTATTTCAGTTGCACTAGGTACCTTTTTGAGGGATCCTATGCCATTAGCTGAGTTGCTGTTGCTGCTTCTACTGTTCTTCAGAATCTTTCACAGTTCTTCACTGGTCAAAGTGATGTTACTTCCTATTTGGCTATAATATTAGTCTGAGAACTAATTAACTATAAGTTAAGGAGCTGAGGAGGGGGTCGGACTCGATGATCTGTTGAGTTCCCTTCTGACCCTAACATCTATGAATCTGTGTTGATTCCTTCCCCAATTTGGTCTTGTATCTTTTGCTTATATGTTTCTGGAGGGGGGATTTATAACAGTTTTGTGTTTTGTAGCTGCTTACTGTTCCTTGGTTTGATTTATTCAGGTCCAAGACAAGTTGTCTGTGGTCTGACATACATTGACTGGAATTTGACTGGACTGAGTTCAAGCAGGTGCAGATGCAGTAAGCTGTGGAGTGGAGGCCAGACTTTCTACTGGAGTAAGTGTGTGCAATTCCAATGAAGTAAACAAAGGCTGCATACACTCATTGAAATGATCTGGAAAAATTCTCCTGGGCTTGTTTTCCTGGTAGAAAAACTCACCCAGAGATGCCTGAAAAGATATTTGAGCCCTTGAAGAGCAAAGACCTTGCAGAGCTGAGGCTACACAGCCAGGGGGCCCCTGTGCACACATTTTGGTGTGCTCTGCAGATTCCCTCAATCTGGTCCAAGACAGATAGTAGCACTGCATAAGGCAATCCTGATTGGCTGACCCAAACTGCTCAGAGTCATCTTGTGACTCCGTGCAGCACAATGTGGAGCTAGTGAAGGGGGCATGTTCCGCTCCCTGCTTGACTGAAGCAGTAGAGTGCAACCTGAGCAATATACATTGTCCCAGCTGTGGGGAGAAGCAAAGCGCCCTGGGATGCTGGCAGACTGTGCTGTGGCTTCTTTCAGAAGGAAGTGTGCACTGACATTCACTCTCCTAGGAGAAACTCTTCCATAAGCAATTGAACCCTGGTTGTTTCTGGGTTATTTTTCTCCTGGAACAATATCTGTCCTCTTGTGGTTTATACTGGGATGTGCAGCAACTCTGTGGTGAGTGGTGGAGAAGAGGCAGTAGAAGGCAGCAACTCTCTGTGGTAGGGCATTTGGGGTGCCTGCTACTTTAACAGGTCAGGCAGCCTGAGAAGCTGCCAGCAGGTGTGGGCCAGAGTTAATGGGGAGTCAGCTGACCCAAGAATCTGGCAGGTGAGGCTGGACTTTATAGAGGGGCTCACCTGACTCAACAGGGAGTCATCTGGCCTGCTAGTGGGGCCAGGGGCTAGGGCCTAGAGAGGGGCTAAAGGCCGGAGGTGGTCACAGTGGGAGCCAGAGAAGGGCCCAGAGTTCTCAGCTGGCCCAAGGTGGGGTCAGGGCCTAGGAGAGGCTGAATGTACAGGTGTGGCCATAACCAGAGGAAGGGGTTGGAGAAATTGAGGCCCTGATGAGGCTGGCCGGGACAGGGCCACTGGATGTAGAAGAGGGTCTGAGACAGCACTGAGACCAGGAGAACTGGTGATAGGAGATTCAGGGCCAGAGGTAGCCTGGAAGAAGAAGAGAGCTGAACCCAGAAGAGGACTGCATGAGAGCCAGTGAGACCAGGGGCTGAGAAAGGAGGAGAGCCGGGGTCAAGGGAGCATGGAGGGGGTGACATTACAAAGGGGCCAAGGAGCTTGTAGCCAGCGTTGTTGGACAGGGACAGCATGGCTCTGGGGACAGAGGCTAGGGCCTAAGCTAGTCCTGAGTATGACCAAAAACTGCACCTTACTGGGGTTTAGGGTCACAGTAGTGGGGCTGTTTGTGGCAGAGCAGCCCCTAGAAAGTGCCACCAGGAACAAACCCCAGGGAAGGGCAAGTCTACGATCTGGCAGCCCAGGGGGAAGTTGAGCAAGGGACTGAGAGAATCTGGCAGCCCAGGGAGTGGCTGAGTGAGGGACTGAGCAGCCTGGAGACTCGAGTGGGACCATGAGAGAGACCGAGTGATCTGGGCCCAGAAGGGGGCTTGTGAAAGACCAAGAGGTCTGAGGGCCCAGTGGAGGACTGTGTGTGTGTGTGTGTGTGTGTGTGTGTGTGTGTGTGTGTAGGCATGTGAAAAGAGAATGTCCGCCATGATACCATGTGAGGAGACTCTGACAGTAGGGAAGGTATGGAGCCATGCAGTTAGCCCATAAGGCAAAGAACCACCACAGCCACCGGGTGGTTATTAGCACAAGACCAGGTCTGGGAAGCCCTGGGGCAGCTTTTATAACCAAAAAAACATGAAGGTGTGATGTGTGAGTGAAGGGGAGACTGTTCCCAGAACGAGCAGGGCAAAAAAGGAAATTTTTGGGGCCTCCAGGAGCTTACAGCTGCCCCTGGGGATGCAACAATGCTACACTCTCCCAGGAGAAACTGTATATGGCCAAAGATGCATCTGTTTACCCCTCTGGTAAATTTGGCTCCCCTTGTGTTTGGACTTCTCTGCAGTGACTCAGTGCTGAGCATGGGAACAGTATACCACCTAGTATGTCCTGCTTCCTCAGTTCATTCCTGCCAAATCCAGAAAATTAAGTAATGTACCTGCTTTAAGGTACTGCTTAATACATATCCAGAGCTGTTCTCAGGCTCTGTGTCTCAAGTGTACTTATTGGTAGACACTCAGAGCTGCGTTTGAGAAACTCCTTTACCTAATTTTCTAGGGCTTGGCATGAGAAGAGGAAATAGGTTTGAGATGCTTCCTGGCAGTGCTCTAGGACTTGGCACAAAAACACCGTAGACCTGCCCTTACTGTCAGCCACTGTTCCCAAATGAAAGTCATATTGAGGACATATTATGAACTGATATAACATCCAACCTGATACGAAAATCATGTAAAAGTGGTCTTTTTAGCTGTTTCTCAGCTCTTTCTTTCTCCTGTGCAGTGACAACTGCTTTGTAAAAAAGCTGCTGTTGAATTGCCAAGAAAATGGTTCATCAGATGTTTGGGATCAGTTGTTTCTAAGATTGGAGTTTAATTCTATAAAATGCAGTATGTTTCTGAATAATCTTAAGAAAAAAGTGTAAAGCCTGCAGAACTGCAGAAAATGGTTCATGTCCACCTGATTCTGAACACTCATGGTTAATGGTCTCTAAGCTTGACCTACTTTTTCTCATTTGTATGCAAAGTTCCATGTATTATTCAGTGTTTCTTTTTTCTTTTTCAAATAAATGCTTCAATGAACTTTTTTGTTCTAAAAAGCAATGCTAGCAGGTCAGGACACGAAGCATTTATGGATAACACGACAGTAAGCCAGAGTATACTTAAAGTAGAAAGAAGTCTTCAAGAAAACATATTTCAGCTTAAAATTTCTTATGGTTTGCAATAGGGAAGAATTTATTATCAAGAAAAATGTCAGTGTCAACCCTATTTTTTTTCTGAACATGTTCCTTATTAAAGGAGTTAATGTTTTTGTCAAAATAAATTGGTTTATTCATTCTGAAAATTCCCCATAAGAAATGGAAAAGAGCGAGCTTTGCTTATTAAAACTTCACTGAAATGCAAGGAAATAGCAAATATGTGAAGAGTGAATTTTACAAAGAATACATGTTTTAGAATTCAAACTAAGCTATTCTTACAGGTTTAACTGTCAGATACATTGAATTGAGAGAGGCTGCTCTTCAGTTCTGAATTTAACATGCACAGAACTAGGGAAAAGACAAAATTCTACCATTTACACAAGGCAGAAGATTCTCCAAATACCATATTTTCTCATATTTAATACTTAGCTTTCCCCAAAAAATCAGCCCCCCAAAATTGGAGCGCATGTATTAAGTGGGAAACCTGACTTTCTGCCCAGGTTTGTAGCATATTGCTTTGATTCTTGCTCTGCAATTCAGTAGACATTTCATTACTATTCAGACAGCTGAAGGAGCCAGTTGACTTAATGGCTTGTTCTTTATTTCAGAGGTGTTAACAATAATCTCTTCTTTTTAATGGTCTTGATGGTCCACTAATTGAGCTAACCTTTCTTATAGGGGTGCACCAATAGAGATTTATGGAGCCAATACCCATAGTTGATTTTTAAGGTGGTATATCAGCTGATATTGATTTGATTTCTGATACTAGCCCAGCAGCTTGAAGAGCAGTGTCTGGGTGGTAAGTCTGTTGTGATGGAAGGGAGCAAATCAAGGCCCCTACAGTGAGGGAGGGACTGGGGTTGGTGCAGGGGCTGCGCACACCCCAGGAGGGCACGGGACAGGGTGGGGAGCGTGTGTCCTCAGATCTGTACGGGGCAGGCTGCTGCCTCAGGCTGCGCTGGGCTTCTTCCAGCGGGGGCTGGGCTGGGCCAGGCCAGGCCATGCTTGGGGCAGGTGGCAACAGTACTAGGAGAGGGATACCCAGCACTGCCACCACCTGCCCCAAATGCAGCCTGGCCCAGCCCCCACCAGGAATAGCCCCACATAGCCCCAGTCTCATCTCATGCAGATCTGGGGACCCACATCCTGTCCCTACCAATGCCCTCCTGGACGAGCAGCTGGAGCTGCCGGATGAGCTGCCAGATGAGAGGCTCCTGAATAATCAGCGCACAGCAGCAGGAGCCACCCCCCCTCCCCTCCCCGGATGAGGCGCAGCTCTGTCCTGCCCCACTCCCTCCCTCAATGCTGGGGCCTTGATCTGCCCCCAACACCCATCCCCTCCCTTCCCCCCTCCTTTTGCACCACACCAGACTTACCAGCTGCACGCAGCTCTCCAAACTGCTCCTCGCCACCTACATACTGCTTTGCAACTGTGTGCATGCATAGGCCATTTATCGGCCAAGTTGTCTGCCATACAGACAATTTTCTTGATATCAGTGCCAATCCAATATTGGACCAATGTATTGGTGTACCTCTGCTTTCTTAAGGCAGCTTTGCTGTCTGCTAGTTGCTTCTGGTCACTTCAGTTATTTCACAGCCTTGTAGATTGTTTAGCTCTTTTCAAAATACAATCTACCCATAGAGACCAGTCTTCAAGAGCAGCTAGTGTTTGAGCTTTAATGCATCCTTGCAATAACTACTTTGAAAGTGATTCATTCTGTGTGTTTTGAGATGTTATGATAAACAGTTATTAAGGAGATTTAGTTATTCTCAAGGTACAGTGCACTGACATTTGAGACCTTTAAAATTATAGTGCATAAATAAAATAATAAATATTTTCCATTTCTTAAACACTTCCTTTGTCAGTAATAGTATGATTCCCTTATTTTGGTGAATTTTTTATCCCAAAGTTCAGTGCAAAAGGTTGAATTTTGAGTGTTATTTCTCTGCTCATCCATTTTGCTTGTCTATTAGTGTTAAAAAAGTGACAGTTGGTAGAGAGGAGTGTCCTAGAAACAACAATAGAAGATTTCTCCTGAGCATTTAGTTAAGGAACAGCATATTTAGATTTCCTCTGAAAGAATTAAAATTCTGTTCAGTTGTCCTTGTCTGAAGATTACTGTCTTCATTTTCCTATCTGTCCTTATTATTGCAAGATAGTCCTCTATTTGAACACTCTGTGCTAGTCTCAATTTCTTCAGCATAAACAAAGTAAGAGCTATTCAGTAAAGTGTTATGTGTGAGATTATAAATTTATAAATTGCAGGATATGAAATAATACTCTGATTGCACATAAAGAAAATTTCTCATGGGGAAAGAGCAAACAAAGATGAGAGTAAAATTCAGAGAATGACAAACTGAGGTTTTGAGAATCGAGTCAGCTAGGCAGAATTGGAAACAGCTTTGCTTCAGTGTTAGGTAATTAATGTAATTATGTAATGTAATTAAATCCTGGCTTTATCATGCGAGGGAGTCTTGAGATATGATCAAATGTAATTTCAGATACAATTATCAGAGATTCTTTTTAATGAAATTAGAGATTTCAAAAGATGGAGTAATAGCATTACAACATACTAAGCTGTTTATTTTGAGATTATGGCTCTGAACCAATTTTTTGTGCTATGCATAATGTTTGACTCTGAATTGTGTTAATTGTACTTCAAGTTTTTGGAGTAAATTTTCAAACAGTGAATTTACTATTTGAATATATGTTTTATCACAGACAGTTGGGAATAAGAAATATTTAGTGCTACCTAATACACTTCTTCATTAAGATTTTTTTCTCTGACAATTTACAGTATGACTGAAGATTTAAAAGACGATGCCCTATGGATATCCTGATGACATTTTGTGTACGGTGACATGTTACATGCTATGGCATCTGAGACTGAAAAGGCCCATGCTCTTCTTCAAACTTTCAGCACAGCCTCAGTTATTTCCAGTCTAGGACTAGGGTTTTTTTGTTTTGTAGTAGACCAACTTCAGCAGTTTTCTTATATTCAGCAAAATGACTGGCTCCGAGCCCTCTCTGATAATGCAGTGCACGGTGTGGTGGGTATGTGGTCCTGGGCAATAGTGATTGGACTCAGGAAGAAAAGTGATTTTACTGAAGTCACTTTAGCTGGTTTCCTCTCTTCTGTCATTGATGTGGATCACTTTTTTCTAGCTGGCACGCTCTCACTCAAGGTAAGCAAAATGCATCAAATTTATTTTTTTTCTTAAGAATTCATGACCATTTACTTAACCATTAGTTTGAGTTCTTCTCTGTGATGGTTCGTTGTGCAGGGTTTGAACCTTGGTCATTTTTTTCTTTTGATTAATAAAAGAAAGAAATTTGAGACTGATGCAATGAAGGAGCAGGTACATACAATAAATAGTACTCTTTTTGCAAGACTGCTTGTCAAGGCAGAGTTCTTCATAGAACTTGGCCCAAGAGAACTAGATATCAGCATTCTGTGTATTACATTAATTAAAACTAATAGAAAAGAATCATGCCAAATGCTTGAGTGTTGAAAAAATAATTTGGTCTGATTTGTAGAAGATGCTATGCATAAGTACTACTGTTGTTTGTAGCTGAGATTTAAAGCTTGTACTTCTGCTTGAAAATGTTTTTATCTACTGTTAACAGCAATATCTGTTATTGCTGTGAATGACAGATTGGAAAGAGAAATCCTGATTTTTTTTTTTCCAGTTATTTCAAGCATTTGACAACTTTTTTGATATAATTAATTTCCCCCTTTTTTTTAAAGGGATGTTTTGACATTACAATCTAAAATAGAAACTATTTTTAAAAGGTCATTTGTAAATGTCATTATAAAATCACAAATTGTCAGGGAATTTTCCTGTCAATATCAGACTATTTTCAACTGAACTTCATTAAATGAACTTCATTTTAATGAACACTTACTAGTATAATTTTATTTATTTTAAAAATCAGCTAAGTATACATGTATCATTTAAATACTAATTGTTATAATTAGTTTTTGAAAACAGTCTTATTTTTCTTAACTATCACCAGTAGATGGCAAACTTCACCAATGGCAGTGTAGCAGGACATGTATTTACATATACAATACTCAAGTTTGTACTCTGTCATAGAATCCTAACCAGATCTTGCTTGAATGGACCACAAGAGATCATGGAGTACAGCCCTCCAGATTCAGAGAGAATCACCAAGTTATTCTTAAAAAAATCCACAAGGTTTGTAAGGAGCCTGTGCTACTGTGTTTAGCACTTTCACAGTTAGATACTCCCCCCCCCCCCCCCCAAATATCCAAACTAAATCTTTGTTGCAAATTAACCTGATTTCTTAGTATATTAGAATATTGTCATTTTTTCTGCAGTTGTTCTTTTGTTGTCTGGATAATCCTTCACTTCCTTCTGTCTTTTTGCATAGGTCACATTTCCTAACCCCCATCATTCCTCTTGATCTTTACATTTTTTTCAGTTTGTAATCTTTTTAAGTGTGATGCCCAGAACTAGGTGTAGTATGCCAGCTGTAGTGTCACAAGTGCCAAGTAGAGAGTAGTTACCATTTGTGGCTTATATATGCCACTCCTATTAGTGAATTTAAAAAAGTCTTTTCTTTAACAACATCATTTTCTTACACACATTATTTATGATCCATTATGACCGTACTGCTGCTTAAGCAGCTGTTCCCCATTTATTTGTATGTTTAATTTTTCTAAGTGTAGCATTTTGTACTAAACTCTATTTCATAGACATTAGGGCTGGAAGGGACCTTGCAGGATTGGGTCTAGCCACCTGCCCAAGGGGCAGGAAGTCAGCTGGGGTCAGGTCACCCCAGCAAGATGAGCATCCAGGTGTTTCTTACAGGTATCCAGAGTAGGTGTTTGCACCACTTCTGGGGAGAGTCTATTCCAGACTCTGGAGACTCGGATGGTAAAGAAGTTTTTCTTTATGTTCAGTCTAAAATGGTCTTCCAGCAGTTTGTGACCGTTAGACTTTGTTTTTTCCTTAGGGTGCCCTGGTGAGCAGATGTTCTCCCAGTTCCTGATGCCACACCCCTTATATACTTATAGGCTGCCACCAAGTCACCCCTGAGACTTTGCTTCTCAAGGCTAAAGAGTCCCATGCCTCTCAGCCTCTCCTCATAAGGCCTGTTCTCTTGACCTCTAATCATACACGTGACTCTTCTCTGGACTCTCTCAAGTTGCTCCACATCCTTTCTAAAGTATGGAGTCCAGAATTGAATGCAGTACTCCAGCTGCAGCCTCACCAAGGCTGAGTGACTGATAGCCAGGATGACTTCTTGGGTCTTGCTTGAGATGCACTGGTAGATGCAAGCCAGAGTTGTATTTGCTTTGCTGGCTGCGGTATCACATTGAGAGCTCATGTTCATCATCAGGTCAGTTATGACCCCCAAGTTTCTTTCAGTCATGGTGCTAGTGAGCGTAGCACTGCCAAACTTATAAGTATGCTGTGGGTTTTTTCTCCTGAGATGCAGCACCTTACATTTCTCCATGTTGAATGTCATCAGGTTTTGATCCACCCACCTTGAAAGCATGTCCAGGTCAGCTTGAATTGCCAGCTTATCCTCTAGAGTGACTGCACTTCCCCATAACTTGGTGTCATCTGCAGATTTAGCCAGTCTACTTCTGACATCCATATCCAGATAATTATGAATATATTAAAGAGTACTAGTCCAAGTGCTGAGCCCTGGGAGGTGTCACTGGTCACTATGCTCTATGTTGACTCAGTTCCATCAACTGTGACTCTCTGGGTCCGACCACGGAGCCAGTTCCCCAGCCATCAGACCATAAGGTTGTTGAGGCTGCAGTTCTGAATTTTACCATGAGGACATCAAGGGAGACCAAGTCAAAGGCTTTTTTGAAATCTGAATATATGACATCAACCTCTTCTTTGTCTAGGTGATGCGTTACCTGGTCATAGAAGGAAATCAGGTTGGTCGGGCAAGACCTACCTGCAACGAAGCCATGTTGGCTATCTCTCAGAACGTTGCCTTCCATTAGCCTGTTGCTGGTTTCTTTGATGATTTTTTTCCAAGATTTTTTCAGAGTTTGAGATCTAACTGATTAGCCTGTAGTTCCCTGGATCTTCATTCTTTCCTTTCTTGAATTTCCACTTTTGAATTTATCCTGCTCATTTTAAACTGTCCATCTCTCCAGTTTGTCAAAATCACTTTGATTTGTGAACCTTTTGTCCTATCATTCCAGTTCACAATACAATACTCTTCTAGAATTTACTTTCATGAATGATCATGCTTTAATTATTTTTAACAAAAGCATTTTATTATTTGAATTTTTGTACTAACCAGTTATTAATTTCCATTCAGTTACAGCAGTATGTTTCACTTCCCAACACTGTTTCTGCTTCCATTATATCAACAGTTACTAAAAACAAGCATGGTTAAGAAGACATTGTAGTATGATGAGAACAATTTCAGATGAACTATACTGAGACTGTTCACCTCAGTATAGATTTGAATATTGAAAAATACTTCCAAGAAAGAAGGATGGAACAACATCTTGTAACAGTTGTCATGTTGTTCATTCCTTTCTTCACCATCAGCTTTTTTAACCCAGTCCTGTACTTGCTGAAATCAAAGATAGAATGATCATGCTGCTATATTCCTGGAAATTGAACCTGTGAAAACACCTAAAAATGTCTGATAATGATAAATTCTAAATATGCCTGTTGTAGACCTTTGTTCTATGTGGCACATTCATGCTCCCTGTAACTCAATGCAATGAGCTAAACATTGGTAACATGAAAAAGTTATGTGGTTTAATAGATTAATATGGTATGCAGGTGCCTAGTGGTAAGACCACATTCTGTGTCCCATCCTTCTGCCACCCACAGGTTCATTCATATTGTGTTGCTCAGAACTCACTGATTCATCTTAGATTCCCTTGCTCCATACCAAACACAGCCCTTCTAAGAATTGGTCCATGGACAACTTCCTTCTCTTCACTGGGCAAGTACAGTCTGCTGTATCAGCAGTATTGGCAGTCCCTTGATACAAAGTGTACAGTTTTCCAGTAAATGGGGAAGTCTGTGGCAAGTCTGAGGTCAATCCAAGATCTGCATGTTCAATTGCAGATGTGGCAAAGGAGGAAGGAGTAGATTCTGGTGATGTAGGGTCATACCTCTTTCTTTATGTGTCTCTGCCTCTGTAGTAAGACAAGTTTGTTCAAAATGATTGATACTTTGTTGTACTTTTTGAGAAAGGTAGCTACTCAGGTGGGGGAAATACTCTGTATTCTCCACAGATTGCTCTCTAATTGTAATTTTATGGATGATTGGTTGGTTTAGGGTGGGTTAGTAAAGTATCTTGGTTTTCTTGAAGTTGATGGTGAGTCCAAGCATTTCATATGCTTCACAGAAGCAATCAAGAGTTACCTGGAGTTTTTCAGTTGAATGGGCACATATGACACAATCATCAGCATATTGGAGATCAGTAATGGAGGTGTTGATTATCTTGGATCTGGAACATAACCAGTTGATGGTAAAGAGATTCCATCCATGCAATACCAGATGCTGACTGTGGATGGAAGTCTGTCAGCAGTGAGATCCAAAATAGCTGCAATAGGTTGAAAAGAATGTTGGTGCAATCACACATCCTTACTAGACTCTGGATGTAATAGTGAAGAGGTCCATTTCCAAGCAAGAATTAGGATTCTTGCTATCATGTTATCATGAAGAAGTCTGATAATGGTAACAAATTTTGGCAAGCATCCAGATGGCATCAGGATTTTCCATGAGGCCTCCCTGTTGATTGAATCTAAGGCCTTAGTCAGGTCAATAAAAGCCATGTAAAGATCTATGTTGTTCACAGCACTTCTGCAGCTGTCTACACTAGATACTATCTTGTTGCTACCTCTAAGTGATCTGAAATCAAATTGAGACTCGGGGAGAATTTTCTCAGTAAGGAAAGGTAGTCTGTTAGGGAGAATGCAGGTGAGAATCTTCCCAGCTATGGACATGAGTGCAGTACCACAATCATTGCTGCAATCCAACCTATCTCCTTTCTTGAATATGGTAATGATTCTGCCATCTCTCCAGTCACTGAGAATCTTTTCATGTTTCCAGATTTTCATAATAACAATGTGTAGTTGGTGACAGAGCTTTTTCTACCTTGTTTATAAAATTCAGCTGGTATTCCATCAGGACCACACGCTTTGTTGTTCTTCATCAGCATAGTG